GCGTTAAAGACATCATTTTCTCCAAAAACTCAATACATATAAAAATTATATTCTCAATGTTCAATATCATTTATTTTAGGTATTGCTCCCACTAATAAAAATTTCAGGCTCCGTCACTGAGTTACACAAAACGTAACACAGCAGTGTAGACTATCATAATCAAAACCACAAAACCAGAAATTCAAAAAGACCATTTCACATACTTTCCAAGAGCTGTCAACATTGGGGAACAAGCTCGTGTCACATTGACCGCCGCCTATTACATGAAAACAATTTCAGAGTCAGGCTCTGTTTGAGAATACCATACCCAGAAGAAGAAAAAATAAATAAAAATAATTAACAAATGAGACTAAAATTTCGATTAAACATCAGCAAATAGATGAAAATACACAGCAAAACAAACAATTGAACATAGCAGGAAAAAATAATTAATAAGCGAGAAAATTAACTAGTACTAGCTTCATGATTTGTCCATTACCTGATATGGAATCTAGTGCTAATAAGTCATAATCTGAAACAACGCCAACCTGCCACAGAAAGATAACTTCAACACAATGCCTTGTATCCATAATATAAATGATTATAAAAAAAGGTGAACAGATGATTTCTACTTTCTCCAGCCCAGTCAAAACGATCCTTAACCACACAATTTGCCAAAAATAGCCATTGCGAAAAAAATCTTGAGCTCGGGGCATTTTGAGAGCATTTTAGAAATAGTTTTGTTTTGAGTATGAAAATAATTTTTTTTTAGCAATGGTTCTGGGATCGTATCTTAAATTTTGTTTGGTTGTGTTTCTATATAGATTGATTTCGGTATTACAAAAAAAAAAATGAAATATGAAAATATGTGTTATGTAATATGACTTTAGAAAATGAAAACGGATAAGAGAAAATATTCCATTTTCTTAACAAACTATGAAAACAATTTTCTTTTCTATCTCTGTTTTTCAATGAAAAAGGTCCGAATAAATATTAATCCAGGACCATTTTACAAAAAACGCATCTCATCAAGAGTGTGAAAACGTTTCTAAAACAAAACCAAACTGCAGACAGGCAAGTTTCAGACTTTCGCCCACTCTGCTAAAAAGTTTATTTTCCTGCTTTATATATCATGTCATACTCGAAAATTCAAAACGAAATTATAATTACCAGTTTCCAGTCATCGTCAATCACAGGAAAACCAGTTATCCTCTTCTCCACAAGCGTCTCCAATGCTGTAACGACGAAAAAACAAAAAAGAATATAAAACTAACGTAAACCAATAACAAGATATTGAATATGTCACAAACCCAAGTCAAGTCGTCGAACATTACTCCAACTCCATACCTTCGTCAACAGTTGTCGTAGGTTTGACGACAAGTAAATTCTCCTTTCTCGTCATGAAATCACCAACCGTGTATGTCTTATTTCTCGACTGATTTAAAAATTAAAAAATTAAAATTAAAATCAACGTATCCGGATTAGAAAATGCAATAAAAAAAAATCATAATCCATAAAACGAAATACATATATTCAAATGATAAATGTCAAATTAACATGTAATTTCCTCTTTAAAATTTAATTTTAAAAAAAAAACAAAAGGGCTTATTTTATTATTGGAAAACAAAATGTGAAACATCTATGACTACTGTGCACCTTATTTAATTCAGATGGTGTCATAATAATTCCATAGAATCAGTATGCAATAATAAATTTATAATAGAATCTGAATAAAAAAAAAAAGAATCTGACAGTTTATAAACTTGACTAGCGATTGGGTTTTTTTTTTTTTTTTACCAACAACAAAAGGAGAAAAAAAAAGCTTTTAAATTATTTACCGGGAAAATAAGGGGTGACAAATAAAAAAAGGAGGGAAAAAAGTAAAGCAGCAGTGGCATACCGGAACAGAGTTGGCGACGTGAGCGCCGGAGGAAGCGGCGATCGGCGGCCGGAGAGAGCGAGAGAAGCGATCGGAGGCATCGAAACGGCGTCGTTGAAGTAGTTTGCGAGATTGATGAGCGGGGAAGAGAAGAAGAGAAGGCAATGGACGGTTGTGATGTTGCAGACGAGAAAGAAGTGAGATCGCACCAGAACTGCTATTAGCCATGTAGATCGAGGTCGAACCCATCACGTGCGTGCGCGATTAATTATAATATTATGCTAAGAATTTCTGCTTTACTTGCTTTTTTGGGTGGAGATCTCAGATATTGGAATATAGAAAATACGGTATGATAGTTTTGTTGGATTCGGGTGTGAATCGTTGAATAAGAAACAGAGAAGAGAGACTTTGAATGAATTGAGTATATATATAAATGAAGCTCGGAGAAGGAAGATTATTCGGAATCGAATTTGGTTGCTTCCGCAAGAAGAGGAAATCAAGAAACGTACTTCTTAGAAATAGAGAGAGAGAGAGTAGGACAATACTGTTTGGTGGGTTGGGTTGAGACTTTTTCGCCGCCAACACGCTGTTTTGCTGGTTGGAACTTTCTACTTTTTTATTTCTTTTTATTTTTATTTTCTGGGAAAGTCCTTATTCTATTTTTTTTTTTTTTTAAAGGAATCCTTATTCTATTCTACAAGCAACTAAAAAGGAAAAAAAAATTCATTTATACTCGAAAAAAAGGAAAATATCATTAACACACAAAAAAAAAAAAGTACAAAAATCTATTAGCAATTTTCTTATACGGAGACGTGTGGCATATTAGTAGTTTAAATTTTTTTAATCATTAAATTTATATATTTTTTAATTTTTATGTGATTTTATATAAATTTAATAGATAAAAAATTTAATCTACTTAAATGAACGTTAGTGTATCAAAAAATGTCTCTTTTTTATATAATAACTATTTTTTCTCCCAAAAAGACATTTTTCTTTTCTTTTTCTTTCAATGTTGTGAGTGAAATTTGATAAAATGTCTGGTTAAATTTTGAAATTTTATGTTTACCTTTATTTACACTACGTGAAATCTCTCAGTTAAAATGTGAAGTCTCTCACTTAATTTACATGTGAACCTTATGAAATGCTTTTTAGACGCCCTTGTCCCCCCAATTTATTTGCTTTGAGGCTTCAATATTTACAAGAATATTCACGCACGACGATTGTTTTGAAAGTAAAAAATCTTACAAACCCTTATAATAATACAAATAATTTAATGGTACACAATACAAAACACTCTATAAAATCGGTTCCATTAGTAAATTATGATAAAACAAAAGGAAAGTGACACAATATGAGACCTGATATCGGGAAAATTTTTCGGCATATCAATTTAAACACGCATAAGGCTATTTTTTAAATCACAACAACTATGTAAGCTTTCAATCCATACGAGACCCAATATCGAAAAAAATTTCATTCACAAATGCGACATGACAATTTTATATAGAAATCTATAAAATTTTATTCAATTAAAAAGTCTTACAGACACTAATAATAGTGCAGATGACCCTATGATAGACAATACAAAACACTCGATAAAATCGGTTCCATCAGTAAATTCTGATGAAGTACAAGGAAGGTGACGCAATACAAGACCCGATATTAGGAAAATTTCTCGACCCATCAATTTGAGCACGCATAAGGCTTTTTATGAAATCACAGCTATAGAAGCATTCAATCCATACGAGACCCGATATCGAAAAAATTTCATTCACGCATGCGACACGACGATTTTATATAGAAATCTATAAAATTTCATTCAACTAAAAAGTCTTACAGACACTAATAATAATGCAGATGACCCTATGATACACAATACAAAACACTCGATAAAATCGATTCCATCAATAAATTTTGATGAAGTACGAGGAAGGTGATGCAATACGAGACTCGATATCAAGGTAAAACCTCAACACATCAACTTGAGCACGCATAAGGCTTTTTTTGAAATCACAACTATGAAAGCTTTCAATCCATACGAGACCCGATATTTAAAAAATTTCATTCACGCATGCAACATGACGATTTTATATAGAAGTCTATAAAATTTCATTCAACTAAAAAGTCCTACAGACACTAATAATAATGCAGATGACCTTATTGTATATAATACAAAACACTCAATAAAATCGATTATAACAGTAAATTCTGATGAATTACAAAAAAGGTGACGCAATATGATACCTGATATCGAAAAAATTTCTCAACACATTAATTTGTGCACGCATAAAGCTTTTTTTTAAAACCACAATAATTATGGAAGCTTTCAATCCATAGGAGACCCAATATCGAAAAATTTTCATTCACGCATGTGTCATGACAATTTTAGATAGAAATCAATAAAGCAAGTTTGATGCTAATATAATCTAAACTTAGATTTTATTATAATCTAAGTGTAATGAAATAAATAGAATAGTACTATGAGTACTTAATTATTTATCAAATACTAGTTTTAAATAATGGGATAACGACTTTTCTTTTCTTTTTTATTTTATTTTATTTTTTAGCATAATGGATATATTCGAGTTAGTTTTTAATCTTAATTGGACATATATTATTTAACCTTTTTTAAATATTAACAAGTATACTACCACATTTCTCAAGGGAAAAAACATACTATCACATCAAATTGATAATCAAATTTCACAAATAAAGCAGTGGATATGGTATTATTTTTTATCAATATGTTAATATAAAAATGCAGTCAAACACGAACAGAATCATTTCAAAACCGTTGTTATTTTATTTTATTTTTTTTAATCATAATTGACGTAAAGTATGCTCGATGTTAATGTACGTTCGCTTTCAGAACTCATACACGTGTACTCCTCCAAGTGTTTTACTCAAGTTTACGGATAGAACTGATTGCCTATTACAGTTGTGATTTTCTGCAATTTTAAGGTCATATGGCTCAATATAAATGTTTGTATTTTTTTCATTTGAAATTATGTTATTCTTAAAAAAAAAAAATACATATTCGAAAAAAGAATAAAAAATTCATCATGCACTTCAGAGTCTCTTTTGGCAATTACTTGTTGGAAACTTTCGCTCTCTGTCTCTCTCTTTTCTTTTTTCTTTTCTTTTCATGGAGCTGTCGGCCGTGACGTCGACGACAATAGAAATTTCGCATACCAGAAATGTGTGTTGGGGGTTGTCGTATTAGGCCTCAATTTCGTTTTAGTCAGCCTTCAAATGTTTGGGCTTGGCCTGGCTCTGTTTAGAAGACGTTTGGTTCATGGATTAGAATTATTTTTAATTTACGTATATTTTTTATGAGAAAAAATATTATAACGAACTATGAACTATGATTCGAATCAGGGTACGAATCCCCCAACCAAACAACCCCTTAATGTTCAAACCTTCACACCAGCCAAATTCCCGTTCCGTTGCTTTCTCAGCAGGATCCAGGATACAACGGGAGACATTTATCATCGTTATTATTATTATTATTATTATTATTATTATTATTATTATTATTATTAATAGTCATTTATAATGTTTGCAGATTTTTTTCCATAAATAGTTAAAAAAAGAAACATATTACTTTGGTACGTGTTTACATATTCGATAAACTAGATTTAATATGATGTTGTGAATTTTAGTTATTTGAAATTAAAATATATATATATGCATAAACATTTACAAATAAGTATTTAATGATTACGTTTCTATCAGTGGTTTATCATTAATGTTCACCCACAAGCGTACAACATTAAGTTTTGATAGTAAAGAGTGAGTTAGTATCGTCTCCATAGAGATTGAGTATTAAATTGCCGCTAAATACTATGATTATCATAATTCAACTTTATCTAGACAACCGAACTCAATGAAATAAAAATAGAACTAGAACAAATATAAATACAAGAACAAAATAAAATATGAAAACTTTTATGCACAAATGTACTAAGGACTTGACTTCACCTTATCATTCATATATTTATCCTATCAAACCATTGCTAGCCAATTCCACTCGATTCATTAATCAAATGACCTAATCTAACCTCGTTACCTCTCCCGAGTGTCAAACGAAGTCATATGCATGAGTACCCAAATCAATATTCCTATCTAACCCGTTTACTCATACACTCATTAAGTTTAGCCCTTAAATTGGAAATCAAACACCGATCACTTCTCGGCCTCACAACAATAGAAATCCTAGTTGATAATCTAAGACTTGATCAACTCTCAATCTCACAATTTCCTAAACTTTCAACGAGATTATCTAAGTGTCGATCTCATCTTGGACTGACAACAACCTAGACTATGTTTCCTAATTATAGACTGTGAAATCAATCTCTCTCGAGCATCAAAAATCACAATCTAAAATTATCTAACTCATTGGCCACATAAATTAGAAACATTAAGCATAGAGGAACATAAATAAATTAAGATGAAATTTAACTAAAAATTGACAAGTTAATCAAAACATGATTCAAATAAAGCTACATCAAGCCTTAGAATAATAATATAGCTCAACATAGAGGAATCCATAGCCAGAATTACAAATTCAAGAACAAAAAAACAAAAAACAAAAAAAAAACTACAAAGATAAGGAAAAAGGGAGAAGGAAGAGAAAACTCTTGTAGAGATGAGCTTCAACCTTTCAACTCTTCAAGAATCTCTCCCAAGCATTTTTCAAGAATCTCCAACTCCAAGTTCTTCTCTCTAGAAATTTATGTGCCTCTCATCCTCTCCATGTTAGAAACTAGGGTTGCTTTTGCTTAAGTATCCTGAAATATAGAGAAAAGCTTAGCCAAACGCATCCAAAAATCCAAAATTAGCCATACATATTGATCAATAGTTGAAAAATTGCCCAAAATTTGTCAACAACATGCAGGAGGGTATGGCCGCACGCCTGCGTGTCCAATGTGGTGCGGGCACGCGGGGTGTGGTGCGGGAGCGCACCTCAGGTGGCGCACCTACATGGGTGGTTCTGCCCAGGAAGGTCCTTGTGCTGCCTTAAGTGCTTTTTGCTTAATTTTTGACTCCAAAATGCCACTAAGTCCAATTTTATTATTTTTCTTACAAAATAACACCAAAAACACATTAAACTAATAAAAATGCTTAAAGAGTTACAAATATTTGAACTCAAAAATATTTAATTTGTCGATAGATAACCTCCTCATAACATACACATTTACAAACATGTATTGAATATTATGTTTCTATTAGTGGTTTATCATTAATGTATAAATTGCTGACGTGACATGATAAGAATCTAATTTAATTAATTGTTATTTAATTTTTTATCAACTACTTAATTTATTACAACTATCAAATTAATGTCACATAATTAAAAAAATCATACCAACGAATAAATACTAAATTAACAATTAAAGTCACACCCATGTACTAAAGAAAGTATTAGTCAAATTTATGTGCTTTTAAAAATACACAATATAATTTTCAAATAATATTAGAGACATTCTTCCAAAGAAAAACGTTAAGCATTTAGTGCCTCGTATCCTTTAGTAGTTTGATTTATATATTTTTTTAACGGTTCAAGTTTATTTGGGTCGTTGTTAGTCCCGAGACATTCTCAGACATGTTAGGGGATGTTTGTTTCCTATATTCGTCTCTGATTCTGAATCATGATTCATGATTCTCTATAGTATTTTATCTCACAAAAATACACGTAAAATGAGAATAATTTTAAATTATGATTCTGAATACATAAACTAAACGGCATCTACGCTGAAGCATGTGAGTTCTCTGGTGGTGTTGTGTTGGCCCTTCATCGGTGATGTGGCGTGTTTTCCAACTATTCCCGTTTTCTATCATTTTCTTCGGTTAGCGTTGAGGGGTCTCATTTTCCGGCCCGTAGATTTGATAATTTTTTAATTATAATAATGGTAGTTTTTATCCTAATTAGTATGATGTGTTTATCTTGTTTGTTTTTTGTCCCCCGAATCTATTTATTTGCCTTTTGTGTGGTATTGGTGTAATGGCTCTAGACATTGATATTGGAGGATTTGATAAAAAGTCACGTGTGTGCCTAATTGTTAGTGTATTTTTTTGAGTGTATCTTGTCTGTTGAGTTCAATACATATTTTTTTCCTCTTGAGTATTTTATTCAAGTTTATTTGTGAAAATCGGTTATTTACTAGTGTCGTGTTTGCTGCCATCGAAAGTTGTGTACAAATTAATAATACAACGTCATTATTGTCACTATATTAGTGATGATTTAACTTTAACATGTCAAGAAGAATGAAAATATTTCATTACTATACTTCGAAATAATATATCTCACTACTAAATTAAATGGTATGGACTTCTTTTTTTTTAGGGAAATAAATGGTATGGACTTTAATTAGAGATGATCAGAGAAAAAGGAGGATTTGAATATGGTTGTTATCTTATTTTCGCCGACTGAATGAGACCGTGATATAGAGGCTTTCATTTTTGTTGATTTTTTATCTTTTCCTTCAAGAAGAATAGGGAACCTCTTATTATATAATTATTGTAATAATACCTCGAGTATTAATATGATGAATGTCCGTTTGGCTATAAATGAGATTAGCAAAAATAAAAATGAGTAACTGAACTTTAAACGGTTTTTAGGAGCATTCAATTAACAACATGCACAGAGAAAAAACACCAAAAAATTAGAAGGAAAAATAAAGAGTTTTTTTGCTCTATTAGTCGCCAACCTTTACCCTGTTCTGCACATTGATCCTAACTCTCATATTTTTCTTGGCATTTATCTCTAACCTTATAAAAGTATTAAGCAGTCACTTGCCCAACATATGAACATCTAATTGACAATACTAAATTAGTGTGTCAATATCATTTTTTAAAATTTGAATATGAAAATTATTAATGTTAATTTTTGGCTAAATTTAACGTATGTTATATACTTGATAAAAAATATAATACCAAATAGAATATATATCAAATTTTAACATTTGATTACTTATCTTCAGTTTTTTTTTTCTTGAAAAAGAGAGAAGTATGTACTTTTTCATTATTATTTTCAAAATCATTTTAAAATTAAAAACTAACTTTTATGAATTACGAGACTCAATAAGTAAGATAAAAGTAGGATATAGCATTATGTGTTAGAGCACAAAAAAAAAATTAAATATGTCATTTTAAACTTTTTGATGTCAAATATAGCATTGTCACTGATGTTGACATTTGCCTTGAACATAGTCTTTTATGAAAATATTTGATAGAAAAGCCTATCTAGCCATTTTTAATTCTATTTCATCTCGTAAGTTCTTTCTCTTTATGAATTTGAACACGTCTTAAGGACTCGTTTGGTTTACGTGTTGAAATTCATGGTTTTTATTTTATTATAGTATCTTTTCTTATAAAAAATTGAATAAAAGAAGTTCTTGTTAATGGATTTTTCTTACAAAATTTGAATTCAGAATCAAAATCACTAACTTGAACTCATGAACTAAATGGGTTTAATTATTTCTTGAGTCTCCACAAAATACTGTATATAAATTAAAGTTGCAAGCTGGTCAAAGGCCAATTATTTCTCTAAATATACAATAGCCATGGAGAAATATTGGGTCACGCCAGGCACAACATAAACCCACTCTAATCACGTGTTCGTTAGATACGGCACCCACTCACATTAATATTATTATTATTATTATTATTATTATTATTTTGATACAACACGGATATGGTACACACACACTATTGGTGACTAAGGTTTTGGTTAACTCATAATCCTAGGCCCCGTTCACTTTGCTGATTCGAGTTTAGAATTTAAGTTTTTCCACAGTAAAAAGCTTTCACAAACAATCACATCTAACTTTTTTACTACAGTAAAAAGTTCTCACATAAAATCACATCTCAACTCAAATTCTAAACTCGAATCAGCGAAGTGAACGAGGCCCTAGTAAACCACAAATATCCAAATTAGCTCCTAGTTGAGTTAACATTCCTAAACTTTTTTAGAGTTGAAAGAAAATGTTTATAAATAGAACACTAAGGCATATGGTCATGTAAACACACCTAGTGCAATTACTAGAAAGGCAAACTTCGCATTCCCTTACAGCTTCTTTGATGGGAGGAAAAAGTAAAAGGAGAGATAAGGATGAGACTATTAGTGTAAGGATTTTAGGTCTTACAGTTTTGTTTGGTACAAGGAAAAAGATGACACATGAATCACACAAGGAGTCAAAACATTTAGAAAAAAATATACATATCCCGATTTTAATCTCTCACATTGTGTAGATATTAGATTAGAAATTTAGAAAAGAGAATCCAAAAAAAAAAAAAAGAAAAAAAACACACAATAAGAGAAAGGTCTTTTCTTCGTCTATATTTCGACTCATCTAGCTTATGCACTTCTTTTTTTCTCTTACCAACACACTCTCTAGTGTCTTGTTTTCCTTAGTACTTTGGCGTTTGTAGTTTGACATAAAAGGATATTGGAAGATTAATTTCTTGAAGCACGAGTAAATATTCAAGACGTTGCTCTCATATATTTACTGAAGTTTAAGCCGAGTTAAACAAACCAATATGAAAGCGGACTCTTGGCCTCGTTTCAAAGCTTTGGGTCGGGCCTGATGTTTAGGCTCAAAATGAATTCAAATTGGGCTGGACCCAATTATCATTTTTAAGTGGGTTGGGCTAGTCATATTATCACGAGGGCCAGCCCAGCCTAGCTTGCTTTCACCATATGTGTCATTAGGTCATGCCAAGCAACCCAAACTTACACATACTTGGGAAAAAAAAAAGAAAAAAAAAAAATTATTGTGATGGAATACTTGCTCATTGAAAATTTATTACCAAAAAAATTAGTATTAATTATAAATTATTTGTATAGGGCACCTCAAAAATTCCCTAAAATCCACAAAAAAAAAAAAAAACTAAATTCCGTTTTACACAAATTTGTACAAATTTTCCAACAATTATACAAATTAGTAAAAAAATGACACCACCTTGGTGACGACAGTAAAACTGTGATGCACAGTAACAAGACTTTCAGGTGTAAGTACGGTGTCTGATGCCATGCGTCATCATATGGGCCCACGGAGATGAGATCCTACGGTGGAGATATCTCTCTTAGCTTATCCTAGGGTTTACCCAACCCTAACCTCTCCACTATTTAACTCCCTCATAGCTCAAATCTGGTTTTTAGTGCAGTTTCATCTGCCCTCCCAAAAAAACCAAAAAACATTTCCTTTTGTTTCTCTCTCCACTTTCTCTCTCCTCTCTCTATCCCTCCACGCGCCGCCGCCAATCCCGGCGGCTCTCTACCTCCCTCCGTCGGTTCCTCCGACCATTTATCCTTCCTCATCCTTCCCTCTCCTCCTCTATCAATATTATCCATAAAACTAAAACCAAAACCAAAAACAAAAAATTTCTCTTTTTTCTCTCTGCGGACTTTTATCGAATATTTGGTGTGCGTTATTCTATAGCTTCTTTGAGTTCTTCCTAGGGTTTATTGCAATAACAAGAGGAGAGGGAAGAAGGAAAAAAAAAAAATTGAAAAAAGTTTTGAAAAAGGAAAAAAATAAGCTTTTTTTTTTAGTTAGTTTTGTTTTGAGATGGCCCAAGTTCAGGTTCAGCCACAGAATGCGATTCCCGGAGGTAACGCTGGCGCGGCCAACGGTGGGGCTAATCAGTTCGTGACGACGTCGCTTTATGTGGGAGATCTCGACCAGAATGTGACAGATTCTCAGCTGTATGACCTGTTTAACCAGCTGGGTCAGGTGGTTTCGGTTAGGGTTTGCAGGGACTTGACCACCCGGAGATCGCTTGGCTATGGTTATGTCAATTATAGCAATCCCCAAGACGGTTAGTCATAAAAAAAAGTTTTTATTTTTTTCAGTTGGGTAATAATTTTTTCTTTTCCAATTCATGTGGTAGTGACAAAAGATGTTTCTTTTTTTTTTTTTGTGTAAGTTGTTGATTGTTGTGAATGATTTAGAAGATAGGTTTTGTGAGTGTAACTGAATGTGGCGTTTATGAAAGCTAAGTAATGTGTGCAAATTGAATGAACGGTGATAGTGAAATTTTACACTGCCATTTACTTCTGAGGACAGGATAATGTTGAACAGTTTTAATATGTATTTTGCTAGTGTGTTTTTCAATGATGTATATGTTATCTTCCCTTTTGCATTGGGCTCTCTCTAGAGGCTGATTATTTGATTTAGAGACATAGGTAATGAATGTTGAAGTGATTCAGGCATATAGGCTAAGAACCATTTTTTTGAGAGCCATTCTGGTTTATATAATAAGAAAGATTCTATTTTAACAGCCTTGTTGTCTTGGGCAATAAAGCTTATTTATTCCCCCTTAGGCTATGTTTGGTAAGAGGGAAAGAAAATAGGAAGGAAAGAATGGTATATAAACCCAGGTGATGAAAATAGAGAGGAAGGGGAGGACCTTTCTTTTATTGTGTTTGCTGTTTAGTGTGGAATCTCTCCATATTTGGAGAGATTATAATTGCGGTTGTTTGAAGCATTTTAATTCCCTCACCCAATCCATTTTCTCATATTTTCTCCCCTACCAAACAACCATGAGTTCCAAAATCCTTCCACTAATCCACTCAACCCTCTTTCTTCTTCCATTATTCTCTCCTACCAAAAAGCTCTTAAACTTGTAGGCTACTATAGTATTTTTTTATCTCGTTGCCCTGATATAAACAGCAAGAGGGGGGAAAATAGGAGAAGATTGAAATGGGCGGTGAGTGGTGTCGTGTAAATCTACAAGGTTCAAACAAATTAAAGTTTGGTAATATTCATCTACAAAGATTTATTATCATATGTATCTTTTGGTTAAAGATAATACGATGAGGTTATGTCTGAAAAATAACAATCATTACTCCATCAGTCGAACTAGACCTTCAAAAAGTTGTCTGTAGTCTTTTGGAGAGCTCTCCTAATACCAATTTAGCTATATTTTTTTGTTTAGCCTTTCCTTTCAGAAGAAAGTAAAATAAAACACTAAAAGTCTTGTTGAAAGGTAAATTTATTTTACTACCAAACTGTTTCTGCCTATAGGTATATATTGACGTCTTTCGTGGAAAGAAAATATTTGTATCTTTTCCATCTTTTTTCATTTGTTAGAGTTCACCTTTTTCTTATCTAACCTCCCTAACAAATTTAATGAAATTAATGACAGCTGCTAGAGCTTTAGATATGCTGAACTTCACTCCTCTTAATGGGAAGCCAATTAGGATTATGTACTCTCATCGTGATCCTAGTATTCGCAAAAGTGGTGCAGGAAATATCTTCATTAAGGTATATCCATATCTATCCATTAATAATATGTTCTGGAGTAGCTTTCACTTCTAAAAACATGGGAGTCTCTCTGCTTACTCTTTTATTTATTTATTTAATATTTTTTTTTCTCTTGCTGAGACAAAGTTTTCTTTATTGTCAAACTTAGCAGAATTTGGACAAAGGCATCGACCATAAGGCCTTGCATGATACATTTTCTGCTTTTGGAAATATCCTTTCTTGTAAAGTAGCTACTGACCAATCTGGTCAGTCAAAAGGCTATGGATTTGTCCAGTTTGACACTGAGGAAGCTGCCCAAAAAGCTATAAAGGAATTGAATGGAATGCTTCTAAATGATAAGCAAGTTTTTGTGGGACCCTTCCTTCGCAAGCAGGAAAGAGAAAGTGCCATTGATAAGTCGAAGTTTAACAATGTTTTTGTAAAGAATCTCTCTGAATTAACAACTGAGGAAGACTTGGGTAGAACTTTTGGTGAATTTGGAGAACTTACTAGTGTAGCAGTGATGAGGGATGCTGATGGAAAATCAAGGTGCTTTGGATTTGTCAACTTTGAGAATGCAGATGATGCTGCTAGAGCTGTTGAATCTTTGAATGGGAAGAAATTTGATGACAAAGAATGGTATGTTGGAAAAGCCCAGAAGAAATCTGAAAGAGAAGTGGAATTAAAAACCCGTTTTGAACAGAGTATGAAAGAGGCAGCTGACAAATATCAAGGTGCAAATTTGTATATTAAAAATTTAGACGACAGTATCAGTGATGATAAGCTGAAGGAGTTATTCTACCAGTTTGGTACCATTACCTCTTGCAAGGTTTGTGGCATCTCTCCTTTTGATAGAAAAGTCTTCATCCTCTCAACTATTGACTAGGCCTCATGATTATTTTTGTCCTTGAGACGTGGCAGGTTATGCGAGACCCTAATGGAATAAGTAGAGGATCGGGATTTGTTGCATTCTCTACTCCTGAAGAGGCATCTCGAGCTGTAAGTTTAGTTATGTGTGCTCCATGTTATTACCAAGAAAATAGAAGTAGAAAACAATTAATTTTTTTCTTCTTGTTATTAGCTTGTGGAGATGAATGGAAAAATGATTGTTAGCAAACCTCTGTATGTTGCACTTGCACAACGCAAAGAAGATAGGAGAGCAAGGTTGCAGGTACATGTCTAATCCCCTCTTCCCTGAGAACATGCATGAATCAGTCTATAGAAACACAAACTTGCTCTTGCGTGTAGCAGCAAATAATCAATAAAATTCAATACTCTCTAATGAGTAGTTTTTGTAGGAAAGCCGTAACATAGCAAGACAGAATGCAGTGCAGTTTATAAGGATCTTTTCCCTTTAGTATTTTGCTTCACCTTTATGATTTGCTTTACTTTGAGGCAACTGTTGCTTTCTTGTTCTCGCTCTGATACTGGTTGTTTTTTTATTTTTCATTTTTGTGTAAATTGATTTTTTTTCCCAGGCTCAGTTTTCTCAGATGCGACCAGTTGCAATGGCACCATCAGTTGTTCCTCGTATGCCAGTGTACCCCCCTGGTGGTCCAGGACTTGGACAACAAATATTCTATGGTCAAGCTCCGCCTGCTATCATTCCTTCCCAGGTAACAGTTTGCTGGCTATATAACTTTATTTGTAATTATCCTTGATCTTATTGGTTTGGCTGCTATTCTTATGACTCATGTAAATATATATAATTACATTTCATTACTGCTGCTCTTACCTTGGATTTCTCCTATTCTGTAAATAGCCTGGATTTGGGTATCAGCAGCAACTTGTTCCTGGTATGAGGCCTGGTGGGGCCCCAATGCCAAATTTCTTTATGCCAATGGTTCAGCAAGGACAACAGGGGCAGCGTCCTGGTGGTCGACGTGGCGGATCTGTCCAGCAAAATCAGCAACCAGTTCCATTAATGCAGCAGCAGGTTGGTGGCATGTTCTCTTACTTTTTCCATATTCTTAAAATTTCCAGATTTGTCAGCTTAAAGGCTTGTCTTGAATAACAGATGCTTCCAAGGGGGCGAGTCTATCGTTACCCTCCAGGGCGTGCCCTGCCTGATGTTCCAATGCCTGGTGTTGCTGGTGGCATGTTCTCTGTTCCATTTGACATGGGCGGTATGCCGCTGCGCGATGCAGGGATGTCACAACCAATTCCAATTGGGGCCATGGCCACTGCCCTGGCAAATGCTACGCCAGAGCAGCAGAGAACTGTAAGCATTTGCTTTGCTTTTCATGCTTTAACCATCTTGAGCAACTTAAAAATGTGTTCAATACCTGCTAGTGCCAATCAACTGAATTCTTTTGTTTGTCTAAATCTGCAGATGTTGGGTGAGAATCTTTACCCGCTTGTGGAGCAGCTGGAGCCCGATAATGCTGCCAAGGTTACCGGCATGCTTCTTGAGATGGACCAAACTGAAGTTTTGCATCTGCTTGAGTCGCCAGAAGCTCTTAAAGCGAAGGTGGCTGAGGCCATGGAGGTTCTGAGGACTGTTGCACAGCAGCAGCAGGCTGGCAATGCAGCTGATCAGCTGGCCTCATTGTCACTTACCGACAACATCGTTTCCTGAGAATTTTATTTAACGGCGTATTGTACTCGTAAAAACGTAAAAACGATGAATTCTAGAACTACTCTAGTTGTGAGTTTGCTACAGAGCTTTAAAAATTGGTGCGGTAGGGTAGAGCGTTGTTTTGGTTTGTTTTCTGAGAGCTTTTCCTTTCTCTTGGAGATTGCGACTTTGTGCTTTGAGTTTGTCGTTGACATTTGTTGACGTATTTATTCCTAAGATTAAGATGTTTGAATTCGCAATGGTCTTTTGTTTTGAGAAATTTTGACGTTGGAACGCATCAATTAAGATACTTAACGCTTACAATTTCATTATACGCCTATACTATATACTAGAAAGATTTTAACATTTGCGACTTTAGAAATTGGTTAAATTAGCAACGTTCTTTTCGCTAAAATAAATGCTAAAATTTTATTTGCTGAATAAGGTTTATGGTTAACATTTGAAAGTGTAGTTAAGCTAAATTCGTTTGGATGATTATTAATCTCTCTATGCGTGTTCGTCTTTACAAATTCAAATTATATCGTTTTGTATTTACCTCTCAACACTTTTTGCACGTTCTTTAAAATATGTTCTAAATTCTAATATATAATGAATTGGAGATGGATCTTGGATATAACAGTGATACGTATGAGAATAACGTAACGATGTATATATGAGAGATTGAGTATGATGGTGGATGTCAAGGGGCGCTTCGATTAATAATCTAAAATATCCTAGACAGCAAAACTCATAGTAGCTTGTGAAGAGCAATATGTACGCATGCATGGGTTGTAATCAAAGACATAGTGAAGAGCAATGGATCCATTCACAAACTGTGACACTATCATGATTTATGCAAAGGAACCGGAAGAAGACTTCCATACAATTGCCTATAAAAGGACCTCTCCGCATATATATATATATATATATATCCTAAACATATTCATTTTTCATCATTGGGAAAACAAATAGATCCTTTACCTAGTATAAGTGTGTGTCTATATATATATATATATATATATGTACATATATATGGGAGGCGGGAATCGTATTTTTTTCGACAACCACCTGACATTATTTCTATGTATATTTGGACCTGTTATTTTCCCTTCTTAAAGTTTTGGTATGAACAATATCATATCTATATCGCTATTTTGCAGCCAGTAGACTAGTCCTCCAGTATTTACATGTCCCCGTATATAGTGGTCTCTCTCCGGGATTTACACATTTTCGTTTAGACTAGATCTCCTCCGGTATTTATACGTTACTGATAGATTGACCTCTCCCTAGTATTTTAAAATGTTCTGCTTAGATTGGTCTTCCTCCAGTGTACGTATATTCCTGTATAGACTAGTCCTAGTATTTATATTGCTAGCAATGCTGGCATTTCTATTCAGACCGGTCAGCTTCCAACACTTTCATTGATAGTACTACTTATATTTTTGTTCAAATTGGTCCATTATCCAATATTTACACCCTTATCATTTTTTTTATAATGCAATTCGAACTGGACCACTTCCAGTATTTGCCTCTTTACACATATCGGTCTTCTCCAGTTCACATTGCTTAGCGTTTACGCTTTTTGTCACCATTTCCATTGTCATTCAAACTAGTCCAATTCCAATAGTGTTTTACGCTTTTTGCCACTATTTCCATTGCTATTCAAACTAGTCAATTTCCAATATTTACTTTGTGTTTACATTTCCGCCATTTACTTTCATGTTATTACAAGCTATTCCAACTCCAGCATTTATATTTCTAAGCCAACGTCTATATTCATATTGCTGACATTACTCCATATTTTCACTCATTCCAGCATCGTACCGCTCGTCCACTGCATTCTTTTGGTACTGATTTACTACTTTAAAAAGTACGTTAAATGGCAAATTTATGAAAAAGGAGTTGAAATATAACAATTTTTTAAAAAAAAAGATTTTAACAAATCAAAGATTACATGTTAGGCTTAACAATCGTTAAAAAAAATATTTTAAGAGTGTCAAAGGTAATGTTTTGCTTATAACAATCAATGGTAATGTTTTGCTTATCGGGAGAGTGAACCTAATTCAACTGGATAGATGTTTGGCCTTCTGTCCCCTTTTTCACCAAGTGGCGTCAAGCCATGGACCTCAACAATGATGGTCAACGTGGAAATATCTCCAATCATGATGATCATGCGTTTGTGAACGTTTTTACATTGTTGAAAAGCAAATGTAACACAGTAGGACCCAGACATGCAAACTTTTGTGAATCTTGTTCCGCTTCAAATAATATTTTTTGACAGTACACAAGCTAGTAACTCTGAAGATTAGGAGACCCCTAATAACATCCCTCGTTAGGGCGTACACAACAGGGGCCATGTCAGTACCGTATACTTATCCAACAATTCACAAAAGCCTTACTAAGACAAAAACCTCCTAAACGCCTATCCTATAGGTTATGCATCTTGTCGGATGGCGCGTCTAAGCTGCATCCCAAGATCGGCTTGGTCATGCTGAACTACACCAGTACCCTGCAAATCTGAGCTTTGCATTGCAGGTGAAGTGCCATCATCATTTTGATTTTCGTCAATTTTGTTCTCCCCAAAGTTATGAAGCCTACGGCCGATTAGATAACGGTCATCACGGATGGAGTTGTGAAGGTTGGTAAACCAGACATGGAATCGCTTTGCACAGAAGCACAACAAGCTGAAGGACAGGCATCCCAACCAGGCAAACCGATAGACTGCAGAATTGACAACCAACGGGTACCCAAGCACTGGAAACACCCCCCTGGCGAGCACATATGGGACACACAGGGCAGTCAACAACTTCATAACAATTGGGAACACGATCTCACGTAGCACCCATAGACCTTGCAGCCTGGAAAAACCATCTTCTCTCACCCTTTCAAATTTTACTCGCCAACTTTCATCGACCAGTGGCATCATGTGATCCAACATAACCTGCATAAGCAAAAATGAGTACCAAGAAAATCACCAAACCCCAGTAGATATTTATCCAATCCCAGCTCCCCAATAATAAAACGGCAGTATTATGAGGCTTACTCTCAATATAAGATGAAATGCCAATAAAGTATGTGAAATAGATATTTCAAACAGAAAATAGTAACTATTTTTTCAATAAGTCTACTAACTAAACATTTAAAGATACAGAGTAATTCCAACAATAGTTTGAAAATCTGTATAATTATGGAAGCTTTTAAGGATTCATAAGCGTTTTCTAAACATGTGACAAGAAAGAAAGCTAACTAGGCCTCGTTCAGTTCGCGAATTCGAGTTTTCAATTCGAGCTGATATATGATTTTATATGAAAGCTTTTCACTGTAGCAGAAAAAGTTAGATGTGACTTTTTGTGAGAACTTTTAACTGTCGCAAAATTGAAATTAAAAACTCAAATTAGTGAAATGAACGAGGTCTAGAGGTAGTTCACATAACAAGATAACTCACCAATCTAGTCCAGATCTTGAGAAAAATGAGGCCCAATGCCCAGTCCTGGTACAAGAGGAAAACGGGGCTCTCATCCACATGCACTCGCATTGGTACGATCACCAAAAGCTCAAAGAGCAACCCAATTAATACTGGAATGACAAGTATCTGGAAAAGGACAATTTGTCATGGTTAATCCATTATTTAAAAACCAATACTTGCAAAAATCAGATTTTATGAATATCAAACTGTGTTGATTCATACCCAAATTGATAAGAGAGCAGAGCTCTTAACAACAATGCCACACCACTTCCAGATCTGCCCCAATAGAACTGCAACTCTCTCTGTCCTAATATGCTCAACAGAATATCGGGCTCCAGCTATAGCAGTCCAAATTACATAGCTTCCAATGATGAAAGCATATAGATCTACGATAAAAACAAATAAATTAACAACCCAATGCCAACATATAAAGCAAAGTGCTCATAAAGCAAATTGAATAAGTTACCATTGCATTTAATCCCATGCGTTATTGGGAGAACAGGGATGGTGTTAAAAATTGTCCTTCCAAGCGAAACTGGCACGACTATCAAGGCAGAGTTGAAGATAAGCAAAGTCATCCAAGCCATCACCAGCAAGAGGACTATGCGGAGGACAAAGCTATACCTGCTATTAAAGATTGAAAAACAAAAAAACAGTGGGCAGATGTACCTAGAACTGAGAACAATTTCTGGTATTGTATATGTCATCAAAGGTGAGAAGTCCAGTAATGAAATCAGCTTCCCACAAATTCACGATAGAACTTGGTTTAAATTACAGAGCGTCTAGGATTCACTAAATGTAATATCTTAAATCAAGTTCACTTGTTTAAAATCATAGATCTGATCACTTACTCTGAATCAGATTGTTCATCACCATCATAGTCCTCTGCAATATTAGAGTCCCCAGAGGCAAGCAAGGGTCCATTTGGATCATCAGCATCTGGGAGTGGTACCAGGAGCTGGTCCTGCGCACCTACTTGTACTACCTGTAGTCTGTCCTGCCTTCCAGGCTCAGCATTTCCTGCTTCCTGACCACCATTATCTTCAGGTCTGGGCAATAAGAAATCTGTTAAACTAAGTGCCCAGCCAACAGCCTTAAACCAATAGCGAAGGAAGGATTTAATTGATGTCCGTAATTTAAAATGCTCAATGGCAAACGGAATGCATATTTGGAAAAGCAGCATGTCAGCTGGAATTTCAGTAAATGGATCAGACACCCTGAGGACAAAAAAAAAAAAAAATGATGCGCGTTAAAAGCATAGAATATATGGACCTCAATTGTTTTCAGATTTCAGGCATTAAAACTAGAACATAAATCGCCATCTTACGATATATCAAGAGGAAAAATGGATGGTGCCATCCGCATGGCAAGTTTGACTGGTAAAAACACCAGCATCACAATTAAACTCCCATATACTGCAACAGATAACAAAACCCTGCGTGCATGTTTGTGTACAGGATCATCAATAAGATCACGGAATGGATTATAGTTGGGATCAGCAGGATCTCGAAGGAAATAAAGAACTCCATTACGCAAAACCTGCCGACACAAAGTCATGAGTTATAAAGCAGCAGGTGTTTCCTAGAAAAGATTTACAAATGCTAAGGTTGAAGAAAAAACAGTACCCCTCTCAGAAGACTGACAAATATGCTTATCTGTAGCATGTAAACAATGCCTACAACCCAATGCACCAATGAACTTGCCAAGGGGGAGGCTGAGAAGAATTGGACTCTTTGAGCCATCGATTTCCCAAACATCCTTATAGTACATACATCCAGCCACCATCCACACATCAATGGGAACACACCAAGTTCAATGACGAGAAGGAAAGCAACCTTAATCATAGTCATCAAATGCCTCATTGCTGCCAAGAACTGCCTGAAAAGAGATGGGATTGTTTCTGCGATAGAAGCAATACCATAGAATCTCCTGATAGTCAAAGGCTCACCCCTAGTATACCGAATCAAAGCGATGAAGGCGAGGTAGAAGAAAACTAACGAAAATATAAACATGTATCCGACTGCAAGAGTTGTGACATCAGAAAGCCGTGATGTTCCAATACTCGCTGACTTCAAAAGATCTGCTGAAAGCGATGAACTTATATTGTTTGAAACTTCATTAGATCCACTTGCAGTGACGTTCAACATTTCTGCAACCTGGCCAAGCACACCATTGTCTTCGCCTCCAGATGACAAATTAGTCACGGTAGTTAACGCATTCTTCAGTGAAATATTTGCCAAGGAGAGTGCTGATTCTGTAAGTGGCACTACTGTAGACAAAACTGGAGCACTAGCCGTGGAGAAAACCCAAGATATATGATACAGGATAATTCGACCAAATGAGAATGGCACAAAGATTACAACACCAAGAAATATCATATTGCTGGCCAGGACCTGTAGCAAATCAAAACCACTTGACATTTAAATGGAAAATAGGAAAAAAGAGCATTCAACTTATCTATAGTATTCTTTATTTTAAAAGAAAACATTGTTGCATCTAAGAGGAATACATGCAAAAGTAATTAGATCAACGGGTTGTGCACAATGGCAGAACTTGACCACATATAAACTCAAACATACATGATAAGCACTACCATAGAGATCTCCCCATATTAATAAATACATATGATTAGTACTACCCAAACAACCAAAATCTTGGCTTCCCAAACCCAAATGAATCCCAAAATCATTCCACAATTCAGTCATAAGCCCTTCATGAGCTACTAACCCCCTTATTTATACTAATTCCTACTAACTCTACCAGCCCTCTAACTAAACTAATCCCAAGTTCGAGTCCTAACACTTCGTCTGTTAAATGATGGCAATTGTGTCTTAGTATGAGGGAACCATTATACACAAATGATAGAGAAACGTGAAAACCCACCGAACGAGTGGCAATTATTTTGATTTGTATTCTCCAGTGAGAGGATAGAACCTCTCTCCCACACCTTTCCCTTAAACCCTATAACATCTAAGGGACAACTGTTCTTAAAACATGCTGGTTTAACATGTTACAATGACCTTGAGCGAGGCAATACAACGAGTTTTCATCATGGCATTATTCCAAAGTCTGATTATGCAAAGAAATAAAAAAGAAAAAGAAAAGAAAAGAGGACAAAATGATAATAAAGTAAAAATCTGTATGAAGAAATAATGGGTATAAAAAATCAGCTTAAAATTAAGAAATAAACAACAGGCTCAGCAAAGGAAAATAGGGAAATGTGGAATTGAACTTACTGTAAAAGCATTTTCAACCAAATGAAATACAGGGCCCTGCATGCCAACAAGCTCATCAAAGGGTACATCCTCTGCACCATCAGCATCATCTAAGCCATCAAACATCTGTTCGACATGAGCCTCAAGACGAGCTGCCTGTGCCTCCCACCGAGCAGCTACATTTTCAGCATTCCTTCTAATCATTTGACCTGCTCCAACAATTCCTTGAGCTCCACCAGCATCTTCTCCATTTGCATCGCCAGCTAAATTCCTATTAGCTTGTCCAGGAGGTCTTCTAGCAGCACGAGCACCATTTCTGTCCCCCTCTTCATCTCTGTCGGCATCCTGTCCCCCAAGTTCTCGTAAATGCCTAAAATAATCCCTCAGTGATGTGGCCCCAAGAAAAATAAACACAATGCTAGCAGAAAGTAGAAACCCATGCAGACAATCAGTAAGGATAACTGTAGTAGACAAGTGACTCAGGAATAATCTGTGCGCTTCACCAAAACTCCTCACAAAAGCCAACCGCCATATCCAAAACGTAATAAATGGAATGATGAGCAGCCAAACAGAAAGTACAAAACTTAGACGCAAAAAGAACTGCAGAACATGGCAAGCTTTCATGGCCATCCCAACTACAAACTCTTGAAAAGGAAGCCTTGATGGAGCATTCTCAGCATATACAGGAGAGAAGGAAAATGCATGTTTGCAAACCTGCGATATACATCAAATTAAATCGTGAATTTCAGTCCGTGACGTGGATCATCTTAAGTCTTAACACAAACAAGGCTGTAAGCATAGCAACCACAATTATATTAATGTCCTCACAAATAGAAGTACCTCACATCATCAGTCAACAAGTGTAATAAAATTTATGGTCAGAACAATGTCTCTAAGAAAAATATGTGCGTTGCTCAAAAGTCACTAACTCATTTAAATTGTTTCACAAGGGAAGTGATATATAGGACAGTCCAGCAATGAAAAAAAGGCCCTAAGGAGTTCTACATAATAACTCTCTTGAATATCATAGTTTTGTACAAATCTTAAAAGAAGAGAAAAAGAACTAATTTGAGTTGATAGTTAACCCTCAATTGTGAAAGGAAGGAAAGTAACAATCTTTTTCATCTGACTAAAACAAAACTTCCCACCATCAGAATAAACTCTCAAATAACTAATGATTTCATGTAAAATTCGCTTCTAGCACAAACCCCTCAAAAAAGTGACCGTAACAAATGAGATTAATATATACATCTTTTCATCACCTACAGTTTTAACTGATAACCTCACCACAATGAACAAGAACAAACTAGATAAAGAGAAACTAGGTTATGATTTATTAATTAGAAAAAATAATGGAAACCTAAAGTTGATAAGGTTCCTCTATTGGATTAAGCAACAGTCTAGAACTTGGAAAGTTCACAACCTATATCTATTCTCTCTTGTTCCACTATTTACCTGCAGTATGATTTCTCCACCACCAAAGAATTCAAAGCAATTTAAGTTTCTTTAACTTTCAAGAAATGATTCAACCAAGATAAAAGCAAATCCTTAAAATCCCCTCTTTCCCCAAACAGATTTTATGATTCTTTCCAGAATAATCAAAACAACATTACTGGCAATCAACAACAATCAAGTTCCAAAATTTAGAGCTCAAAACAGCTCTTCTCAACTCATTTCAACCCGAAGAAATGAAATTAATCCCGAAATTCAAAACATATCTCACGGCAATAGAACAAAAAAAAAAATCCATCAGACTGCAACAGAAGCCCTAAACAACATAATTCGAATTCCTACGAGGATCAGAGAGAGAAGGAGAGGGAAATTTGCACCTCGCACTGACGAGCGTTGCTGTGATTGAGCCATTGGAGGAGACAATCTTGGTGGACGTACTTGATGCTCCCACTACAGGCGCAAGGGTACCTAAGCGGGTGCTCGGCGTCCGCCGGGTTCCTGCAAATCCTGCACACGTCCTCCTCCTCCTCCTCCTCGTCGAACTTCGCCGATGCGAAAAACGGCGTAGACGACGAAGACGCCAACGCGTTCGACTCGTTCTCAGGCGAAGAAGAAGAAGAAGACGACGACGACGCAACCACCGCCCTTACGCTATCCGACGAAACGGCGTCGTCGTCAAGGCCGGGACCGTCGATTGGCGGCGCCACCGGGGCGATCTCCATGGCGAGTCGGGTTGATGAGTTGACTCGTGAGTTGGAGGCGATCCAAGCCGGGGCGGGTTCCGATCCTTGGGAAATGTGCGGCGTCCGCCGGGTTCCTGCAAATCCTGCACACGTCCTCCTCCTCCTCCTCCTCGTCGAACTTCGCCGATGCGAAAAACGGCGTAGACGACGAAGACGCCAACGCGTTCGACTCGTTCTCAGGCGAAGAAGAAGAAGAAGACGACGACGACGCAACCACCGCCCTTACGCTATCCGACGAAACGGCGTCGTCGTCAAGGCCGGGACCGTCGATTGGCGGCGCCACCGGTGCGATCTCCATGGCGAGTCGGGTTGATGAGTTGACTCGTGAGTTGGAGGCGATCCAAGCCGGGGCGGGTTCCGATCCTTGGGAAATGTGCAAGGGTTTTTTTCTTTTTCTTTTTCCTTTTCCTTTTTTTTGGGGGGGACTTTTCTTCGGCGTATACGAGGGGCAGTAGGAAAAGCAGCGGTGGAAGGAGGTGAGGAGGAGGAGGAGCTGGTGAACTTTGTGTTCCGATAATGCCCCTGATGATGGTTGAGTTCCCGCTGGGTTTTTTATGTAATTTTAGCGACTTAGCGTCGGTTGTTTGGCTTACGCGTAACGCCATTTTGGACGACGTGAACGTAGGATGTTGGTTTAATAGCATTTCTTTTAACTTCATTCGAACCCCAAAAAAAAATTTACCGCTTGAACTTTTATTTTTAATCGATAGATTTTCAACGGTTAGATTCATATTTATATTAAAAATTATAACGTGTCACATAGAATTATTCATATTATAGATCTAACTGTTAAAAAATTAATTTAATAATTAAAAATAATAATTCAACATGTAGAGTTTTTTTGAGATCTCACGGTAAAGGTAAAGAATACTTTCTTTTAACTTGGTATTCAAGTATACTTAAAGTCTGTTTAGTTCGTTGATTTGAGTTTTTAATTTGAGTTGATATGTGATTTTATGTGATAGTTTTTTATTGTAGTAAAAAAGTTAAATGTGACTGTTTCTGAGAGCTTTTTACTGTAGTAAAACTCAAATTCTAAACTCGAATTGACGAAATGAACGGGATCTTAATTGCATTGGTGTACTTTTTTTGACAATTTTAGGAGGCTTGTTCTTTTAAAGTAAAACTCAAAAAAAGTTCGAACTCAAGTTACAACTTTTTCAAGTTCATGTTCGTTTATAAAATTTGAGTTTAAACTTGAGTTTAACTTGAATTTAGAGCTAAAATATAAGTTCAAGTTTCCCCATCAACTCAAGTTCTTAAACTTAAACTCAAGTTAATGAACAACATTTTTTCTATTCTTAAAAACATCATAACTTTTTCGTTTTAATTCCGATTGAGATGATTTTTTTCTATGCGTTCACAACGAAGAGATGAATAAAACCCCACTCATATACTCTATTAAAATTTTTCATCACCATTGAGTTTTTATTAAAATACTATCTAAATACAAATTTAAGTTTTGACCCACTCAAATACAAACTCAAATAGATTCTTAATTCAAATCATAACTCTAATGTGCACGTCCAAACACAAACTCAAGTTATAACTTCAACTCAAATTATAACTCAAATTCAACTTAAGATCTACACTCAAGTCACCATAACTCAAAAATGCAACCAAACAAGCCCTAAATTTTCAATTTTTACAAGGCAACCTCTACGGTAGAACTTAAAAAGACTTCCACTGGTAAAGTCTATACTTTTGACCGATGGATTACTTTTTTAATAGTCAGATCTACAGAGGGAGCAGTTTTGTACATCGAGCTGTAAATTTTTAATACGGATATATGAATGTCTGACTGTTGAAAATTTAATCAAACTGTCAAAAATAAAGACTCTACTAATAGAAGTATTTGAGAAATTCTACCGTATAATTTGTCTTTTTACAAATAGGACTAAATTTAATAATTTATTGTACTCATGTCCAATAATTAACAAATTATGTCAATTAATTGACCAAAGTTATCCAAGAATCTTACACAAATACACTCCAAATTTTTTGTTGGTTGTCAAGTTGGATCATAGACTTTTAAATTTTGGTTTTTTGGATTGTAACGTTGTACATTAATTGAAGTTCATTGATTATAATCGCATTGCAATACCGAATATTATGAAATTCAACGTCCTAAATGCTGAAATTAAAAGGTTGGAGTGGAAGGGTAGTGTGCAACATGGGAATAATAATAAATTCAAGGTGCAAAAGTATAATTTACCTTTTCTAAAAGTTCATTTTAAGATAATAGTCTAGTTTTCATGTCTCGGTTGAGCCGCCGTGCATGTTGACAATATTTGTGTTTTTGCAGTGAGATCGGTGTTTTCACGAGGAGATTGGCGCATGCACAACGAGATCAGCTTCTCCTCTTATTGTCAAGATCAGAAAAATCAATGGTGAGTGATGAGATCTCATCTTACACCGCAGCTAGCAACACCGCGATAAATCTAACATTCCGATGAGTTTCTGCTACTCTTGGTTGCAGAAGACCTGTGATTTCTCTAAAGTGGAATGCTTGAAAGAAAAGGACGGACACTCTGGTATTTCAACCCCACTGTTTAGAATTTTCCTTGGTTTTTGGTAAAATTTTTGTTATTTATTTTTTAAATTTTTGGTGTTGTTAATTTGAATATATTAATCATTAATCAAACGTAAATTAGTGGTTTACTTTATTTTTGAGCGCTACTTTTGAAACTTGTGTAATTTAAAGTAAATTAATAATTTAATCCAAAATAAACCAATGATTTAATAAGAAAAACAAACGAATTTTACAAAAAAAGAAAAAAAAAAGAAACCACAAACTCTTTGTCTAATCCACTTGTGCATGCACTAATATTTCAGTCGGTTACAAATTTTCTCCTCCTAGTAATGAAATGGCGTCTAACCCCTTTCTGGGTTCTTTTGGCTATATTTATAGGCAGTTACAAAAGCTAAGCCTTCTCGATTCCCAAGGAGGAAGCCATCTTCCATCCTCGATCTTCGGGAGGGTAGGTGAGTTTTCATGATGACAATCTCAGGAAATGCGGCTGACCCCTCTCATCTGCCGCACGATCTACTGACTCCTGCAGTAGCCGTTAGATCAGTACTTCCTTCTCTGAGTTGACAAGACCGCTGACGGGTCTGACTCGGCGGGGTGCCTCGGCGCAGTGGCTCTCAGAGGTCGAGTCACTATCCTCAACGCCTCTCTCCACGTGTGATCTCTCGGCGCAGAGGGCACCTTATCTACAGCCACTCCTTTGACGCCAGCGACCGATTCAGGACGGGGAGTCCTCGGCGCCTAGCGTTGAGAGAGTGGTCAATTCCTCGACTATGGTGTAACATTTACCCATAGGCTGGGACGTCGTGGTGTGACTTTCCTGACTACTCAGCATCGAGGATACCTCGTGAGAAGAGCTCTTCTGCGGGTAGCAGCGGCTACTCGTCAGTACAGTGATCATTGCGGTTGGTTTCTCGGGTAGCGGAACCGTCACGTTGATCTTGTCAACAGCCACGTCCCCAGTTCCCTAGCGCCACGTGGCCCTGGGAGGATGAACTGCAGCCATTCGATTAGATCCCTTTTCATTGTTTTCTCCCCAACCGTGGGATCACGCCTTATCGAATTCACCGTTGGATGGAACCGAATCGAATTCGACGGTCGAGATTTGGAGTCAAAGGACTCCTCGGGTGTGTATTTAAACCCTCTGTGAGGGCGTTGAGGCTGCACATTTTCTTGAACGCCGTTACGCTGCCGGATTTTCCCCAGACGTTTTTGCTTCCGCGTGCTTCTTACCGATTTACGTCTTCTAACAACCGGTGAGTTCTTGTTCCCTTTTATTTTTGCCATTGTCCTGGTGCCATTGCGTGTAAAACAATGAACCCGTATCAAAACAAGAAAAAAAGGGAGAAACTGTTCTTATCCGCCATGGCTGGCTGTACGCCCGGGGCTGAGCTTGAGTTCCCAGCCCCTGGTTCTAGGAACTTTGGCTGGGGCCTGTTCTTCGTGCCTCCTTGCACAGCACCTTGACCTCTCGACCATTAGGACCTAACTTTGCCCTTTGTTTGTTTTCCAGAGCATGTCGCCAAAACAAGCTAGGGGTCGAGAGGTCTCCACATCCAGGGTGAGGGACGACCCAGTCGAGGTGGCGACGACGAGCTCGTCCTCAGACGGGAGTGTGGACTCTCTGCTTCGGTAGGTGGAGGACTACCGCGAGGCGTCGGCCTCGCTTTCTCAGTCAGATGAGCTGATCCTCCTCGACGAGGAGGACGTTGGCGGGCAGGTCCTTCTGAAGGCCGGGGATATGGGGTTGTGTCGACCAGTGGCCTCTCGGGTTTGGCCACATATGTCAACCCATCGAAGATTAAGCCCCGGGCCGCCCTGAAGGCCTTCAATGATGCCGAGATCGATCCCCTGCATTTTTACCTGATCATCCCGACCCCCAGTGACCGGGCCCACAACCCCCCTGCCAACCATATGACTGTTTACACCCGGGATCTCAGCTTCGGGCAAACTCTCCCTTTCCATCCTTTCGTGAAGGCCCTTTGTGGCCTTCACAGGATATCCTCTGCACAATTGTCACCCAACTGTTGGGTGACAATAAACTCTATGATTATCCTATGGAGGAAATTCTTAGGGGTCGACTTAACCGTCGATGAATTTTTGTACTGTTACTCCCTCAAGGCCTCCCCAGACCAGAGGGGATTTTTCTATTTAGCTTCCTCTACCAAGTCCAAGCCTCATGTTCCCCTCTTGGTGGTCGAGAAGACCTCCAGTGCCCATGGGTGGAAGCTCCAATTCTTTTTTATTGGGGGCAACTTCAACTCCCACCCTCTCGACGGCGAGCGTCCCTTGGGGACACAAACAGTATTCAGCAAATACTGTAGGTCCCCCACTCTCTGTACTCCGTCTTCATAGCACCGATTTTGTCCGTCGAGCCTTCTAACGCATTGCTTCTTACTGCAGGTGAAATTATCGCTTGGTCGTGACTCCCTGCTTCTACTCTTACACGCGTCGAGCGGGTTCTGGCTCTTCCCGAAGACAGCCGTGGCACTTCGGTTCTTAACACTGCCAAGAACCGAGAAGAATACGGCTTGTCTGTGCTCCTCGACACTCCTCAAAATCCCGCGGATCTCCTAAGTGGTAAGTCACGGCTTTTCTTTCTTATTCTTGTCTGAGGCCGAGGGGTACGGTCGAGAGGTTCTTGGACTGACCGCTTCTTCTTTTTGCAGCTGTGCCGTCAGAGATGAGGTACGCCGTCCCAGCGAGGCCGAGGAAGAGAAAGAATAGGGATGGGACTTTAGAACCGCCGAGGCAACCGCCTGTTCAGGTCGCTCCCTCCCTCTGTGTCGCTGATCCCTTCCCTCGGGGGATGTTCGTGATCAACCCATCCGCCAAGGGGCCATGGGTCGAGGAGTCCCGGACCCTGGTGGAGGTCAGGGAGTCGCCATCACAGCAGGCTTGGCGCCTCGAAAAAGGGAAGGACGTCGAGGTGGTCCCTCATGCACTGGAGCTGCTGGTGATGCCGGGGTCAAAAATTGATGACCCCAAGTTCATCGTTACGGACGTCGTGCCTCGGCATCTCCACAATGCTCTGCGCCTTCCTCCCCGCTTCAGCCTCCCTATCCAGGCC